AAGCATCCACATTGTTGAGAAAAAATTGATTCAGGATAGCCCCTCTCTCAACCTAATAATAATTGAGCAACAAGGGGTAGAATGTTCGGGGTTTGAGACCTTCATTGCCTTGGAGGGAGGTATTTTTGTTGATCGGTGCCAGCCAAGCAGTCACATATGGTTGGGTGTTCTCACTGAATTTTTCAAATTTTATCTCAGGCCTGGAGCCCAGAGCAACCAAAAATTGTTCCTGCTCCGGGCTCTGCTCCGGCTAAAATTGCTCTGCTTCAAGTCCCTGATGTATGTGTCAAGTTTTAGTGATTTACCTGGAAAGTGCCACGCTCAGTTACATTGAATCAATAGCACCGTTCGGTCACTGTTATATGGAATCTTCTGCGGAAATATCACTTCCCTATAAAAGCATTTTTCTTGGAATTCTGGTTCGAGCTGTTTGAAACTTCAATTGAAATACGGAAGAAAGTCAGATAAAAAAAATTCCCTGTATGAAAATCTTCGCTTCTTTGCAGGTGAAGCGTCCGTTGTGGGTCCAGCGGCGGGTGCAGAACGCGAAAGACGTGGAAGACATTTTCCGTTCAGTGAAAAAGATGCATGCGAAGCCGACCGACTCTAAGATCTTCCAGTTGCCCACTTCGATGGGCATGTTGACGCGGTTTATTCTGAAGTACGAGTGCAAGATGGAGACGTACACGTCGATCGTGGAGTGCGACATGGAGGTTGCCGAATACGCTGCGAGGAATAATTGCCTTGGGATCCTTGCCCAGGATTCGGACTATATCGTGTTTGACTCTGCACCGTATTACCTGTCCAGTCAGAATTTGAATGTCGATACTCTGGAAACTGTCAATTATGACCGAGATGCCTTTGCATGGGCCCTCGGATTAAAGGTGAGAAAAGTTATGTTCGGAGTCTGAGAATTCTCGGTTCTTTCGACTGCATTGCTCGACACCTCGACACACATTTTCTCAATTATTGTCGTGGATTGTCGTTGTGCTGGTGGACTCGGAATTATTGATTCAAGCAACAGGACGACACCTATCACTGTTGACGTTGCAGGATACAAATTTGGTTTTAAGTAAAAAGAAAGGGAATTTAATTCGTGATGGGAGAACGAAAATGTTCGGAATCTGAACAATGGCGCTCCTCCTTTTACAAAAACTGATGTTTTTTTTTTTTTTCAATAAGTCGGAGTGCTTCATATGATATCAGAGGTATTACAGTTGTGGGTTGCCTGATTTCCGTGCGTGGGGAATTGTAAAAATATTTTCAGGTAGTATTAAGAGCAATACTTGGCACTTTACGCTGTTTTTTGATTGGTAGGATAAGTTTAAAAGATTGTCGAATAATTTCCTGTCTTTCAAATCTGATGTTTGTTTTATCCTACTGATTTCATGCCATGGATGATGGACAATGAAAAATCTGTCACCAGTTCAACGCCGAATTACTATTCCCACCCTTTCGTGATTTCAGAGTACAATAAACAGTAATGTATACAATATTTTCTCCGAGGTTTCGGTACAAACAGGTGTCTCGAAAAAAAAAGATCATGAGCATCTCCATTGATGTCCCTGTATCAAAACTGGTTTGCCATTAATTTTTTATGTAAATATTGGAAATTTGAAGTTTGAAGAAATATCGAGGTCTACATTTAAATTTTTCCGGTGGTCCAATTCTTTGATCAAGAGAACCGGAAAATTTTTACAATTTGCCGATTCATCGGAAAAGTGAAAAAGAAGTTAACATTTTCTGATAAATTCATTAATTTTTTTAATTGGTGTAGAAACCAGACCTGAAATACTAAACCCGTTCTTATATTGTATCGATTTGTCGTTTAGGTCGACCAGTTGCCTCTCCTAGCTTCCTTACTCGGCAATGACGTGATCCATTCCCACGACCTGTTGCTGTTTCACCGGAAAATATGCAAAGATTCCAAGTTTGTCGGCAGACCGAGGATTGAGGATATTGTCCCGAAAGTGATTCACTTCATGAAACCATTCGAAGGCTCTGCGTATTCTTTGTCGCAGTCCGTATTGAATTCCATTTCGAAAAATGTCTTCGGCGACACATCTCGAGCCAATTTGTTCCAGCAAAGTATCTATTCTTACGCCTTGTTTCAAGCTCCTCCACCGCCGATTTTAGTCGACGAAGCTGCTTCGATGAGTTTGAAGGTGAGTCATATGAAATTCGATTTTTTATATTGATTTTTCGATTTTCAGAATGTCTACTATCAACCTTCGTAAATCCAAGAATCCGCTTTCTGTTTCTGTTCATAGAGGAATAAAATTGACTTGTCTATAACTGTCGCACTAGGAAATTTTGAAAAAATTGGCTTCTTTTGAAAATGAATGAGTTGTGAAAATATTCCATTTCGCTGATTGAAGCAGAAGGTTATCCTATTGACGTGCCGGACTTCCGAGAACGTCCTCTCATTTCGTACTGCAGTACACTATCTGGATTCTTTAGCTGAGGTTCTTTCGAGAAATCTCAGAGAAAAATAATTTTTTTATGCTTGTCGAGCCCCGAAAATCAAAAATTTTTGTTGTCCGAAAGCCGACGGACGACCTAGATTTCTTCTTTGGTCGAAACAATTTTTTTCAAACCTCACTTCACCTCGACTTGTAATGTGGCGTCTGTATACGCTTCAGTATTTTATCCGAGATTTGAGGAGGAAAACCGAAATGCACTTTTCTTCTGTACAGTGCCTATTTCGAAAATTGATTCGAAATTGCTGTATTCTTTGGAAAGCGGGATTCCAATTGAAATTTGTTCTTTTTTTGAATGGTTTCTCAGCACCCGACGGAAGACCTTTTGGAAGCAGTGGAAAAAGAGCATAGAAATTGTGCACTTATCCCCTACATGCACTCGGTTCTCGCCCCGCCGCGTACCTGGGAATCGAGCAGTGCCCTGGAAGACTATGCTTCGGAGCAGCCGTCATCAGCCCTCATTTATCGACCCTTGCGACAGCGAATATACAGCATCGTGTTGGCCGGGGTTGCAGAGCGAGAAGCGGAACAGGGCCGCGAAGCACGTCTTCAGGTGATTGAATGGTGCGTTTACAAGGGCAACAAGCTGGAGAAGCCGGATGTGGTGGATGTAGTGCCGATGCCGGAAGGTACGAAACCGGCCGAGGTCCTGTGGTTGGATGAGCGACCGGAAGTGAAGGAGTGGCGCTGGGAAACGTTTTGCACGTGTATCTCGGCGAAGGTGACTCCGGAAAGGTGGCGGAAGGTGGAGCCCAAGTATTTGATGCTCGTTGCGGTGCTTCATTTTCTTACCAAGGTTGGTGCAATTTTTTTTTTCGCCCAAAAGAAGAGTCGGCGTATTACCGCATTTACTCGAGTACTACGCTCACATTTTTTCCTCGAAAGTTGAGAGGGGAAAGGGGCGTGCTCGTTATAGACGGGTATAAATAAAAAAATATTTATAAGTTTGGGTGTGCATCATAGTTGATTAAAATGGAAAATGTTGGACCAATTTTAGCAGAAAATTTTACTGCGACGAAATAATTCAAATTTACGGTACAGTATTTGAATTCAGGATACATGTATGTTTAAAACTTTAAATTCAAATTTGAGTGTGATTATTTTCAAAATATTGCTGGTTTAGTGTCGCCGAAAATGGGCTGCTTGTCTTACTTGGGGATACGATTTTATAATTTTTCATTGAAAACGCTGGTGCGCGTCTTAGTCAAGAGCGCGTGGTACTCAACTAAATAGAGTAGGTCGGCGCCGAAAATTAAAATCTTATAAAAATA